AATTAACTTTAACACTTGAAAAAAACACTTCATAATTATTTTGCAAAACAACCACTCGAAAAACTTTTTATAATAATACTTCGAAAACCTTTGATCTAAAAGAATAGTCTCATTACGTTGTAACATATAAGTTCACACAAGCATAAATGAAAGATTCTACTGAATCCCAGCAAATACCACGGCTGTAACTTTCTAAAAACAACACAAAAAATGTTGCTTTTTTTCAAAGAAAAAATATGTTTTTCTTCCATAATCTAACAAACAAAGTAAAATATAAAACAAAGTATACAATGACATAATTATGAAAATATTCTTTCTTTTGCTCTTACTTTTTTTTTTTTGATAAACATATGTAAACATTTTTATATGACATTTGCTAGCATCAAAATTAAAACGTATCATTGTATAAAGACAATCATGAATCTTTTTACAAATATAAATTTTCTAATTTAGGTAAAAAGTTTTGAGTTAAAAGTGGAAACGGTAAACTATGGAAAGGAATGAAATGCGCCAAACATTTACTTGGCATTTACTTAATGGAGTTAAATAGAGCTTTTAATAATATAACAAGCAGTTAAGTAGCAGCTGCGCCAATTGCTATTTATCATTTATATATATATAAATATATATATATATATATATATATATATATATATATATATATATATATATATATATATATATATATATATATATATATATATATATATATATATATATATATGTATATATATATATATATATATTTATATATATATATATATATATATATATATATATATATATATATATATATATATATATATATATATATATATATATATATAAATATATATATATAAATATATATAAATATATATATATATATATATATATATATATATAACTATATATAAGTATATATAAGTATATATAAGTATATATATAGAGAGAGAAAATCAATGAAATAAATATTATTTTTTATTGAGACTTAACTTTTTTTTTCATTATTTTTAAGATGAAGTTTTCTTTTCTTTATCATGAGGATCTTATTTTTTATGTTTTTTTCTTTTTTGACTGAGATTTTCTTTTCATTTACTGAAGCTTATTTAGTTCATTTTGAACAGAAGCGTTTGTGAGTATTCGAGTACGCTGACGTTAATGTCCTTTAATGGATTTCCATGATCTGTTTTTAAAAAGTAAGGCCATTTCCAATATTCGGTAATGACCCAATTTTTTTCTAAACTTGCTTGATGAGAGTTATTAAAAAAAACATTGAATAGTTGACTTTTAGGGTCAGATATAGGTTGAGTAGGCAATGTACTACAAGCTAAACCTGATGGCAGACTTGACATCAATGATTGATTAAAAGCAGGGGCATGAGCAATAGCAGAAACTGGATCAACAGGACCTGGAAATCGGTTGACAATAATAGGTTATGGACGGTCTGTTATATTTGAACTCGAAAACTCATTATAAGAAAATATGTTAGGATTAAAGTAAAAGTAAAGCATAAGCTTTCCTTACAACTACAGCTAAATCATATATGGTCATTGGTCTTGGAACCAATATGAATTAACTGCAGTTAATTAACATTGGTCTTGGAACCAATATGAATTAACTGCACCACAAACTGTTACAAATATCCCTTTTCCTGCTGAAGTTATCCTTCCAACTTGTTTATCTTCTTTTTCAACAATTACTTTAACTGGTTTTTGAACAGTTGTGAGACCTGTCCCATTAACATTATATATGTTTTGTGGCTGAAACTTGTGTTGCAGACAAACATCTTTTAGATTGGTAAAATATTATCCGACTGTATAACGATAAAAAGTAGTTACTCGTGCTATACTAGTAGCTTCTGGATTTCGTAAAGGTAAATCATTTCTACGTAACATAAAACCACAAAGCCACTGTTTCCCAGCGATTTGTAAACTTTTCCACAATTAAGGAATGCGATTAGTAAGAGTCATTTTAAATTCATTGGCAAGTTTTCGTGAAAACAAAAAGATATAAAAATAAACATATATGTATATATATATATATATATATATATATATATATATATATATATATATATATATATATATATATATATATATATATATATATATATATATATATATATATATATATATATATATATATATATATATATATATATATATATATAAATATATATATATATATATATATATATATATAAATATATATATATATTTATATATATATATATATTTAAACATATATATATATATATATATGTTTATACATATATATATATATATATATATATATACATATATATATATATATATATATAATAAATATATATATATATATATATATATATACATATATATATATATATATATATATATATATATATATATATATATATATATATATATATATTTTTTTTTTTATTTATTTATTTATTTATTTATTTCGTCATTATAAGCATTTTACAATGTTATCGTTTCCAAGTTTAATAAAATAAATAAAAATATAAAGAATGACAGGAGCAAGTAGAAGACATAAGTCTTGTCGTCAAGTCCCTACAATTTGCATGATATATTTTTTACAAATTATTCATAATATATAAAATATAATAATTTTCATTCACTATATAAAGCAAGTTGAAATAACACTTGTAAAATAAAATTTGCTAAATTAAATAAATAAAGTAAAGAAATTTAAACGATTAGCTTTACAGGTTTTTTCAACAAAAAAATAAATTATCATTTTATATTGCAAGTTAAAAATAGCTATATAAAATAAAACACAAGAAAGAACAAAAAATAAAGCACAAAATAGTATAAAATATTCACTTTAATGCTACATTTTGGAAGAAATAAATATATTTCAAAATAATGACATATTGTACATGTTACTTTAATAGTTAAATACTTTGTTTGTGTTTATGCTCCTTTGATCATAGGATCAAAGGTGCATAAACGCATTAGGATCAAGAGTGCTAACCCGCTCCATTTTTACAAAAATTCTTTTTTTGTCATATTAGATGCTTCTATAGTTTACCAAAAGCAACCATACAAGAGGTGAAAAGTTTAGTTACAAAATGACATAAGCAAAAATGTTCAACTCAAAAAAAAATTAAAGATCTCACACCATTAATATTTTTTTCTTTGTAAAAGTAAAAAAAATACATTTTGTCGTCAAAATCAAACTCTTTAGAAATAAATTTAATAAAGGTATATTTTCTAACCAAAACACAATTAATTTCAAAGTTACAATATTTATAACACACTGGTTAATAGCTCTTTTCAATAAGTTTTGTAAGTATGGAGATAATGCTATTGGATCAAAGGGGCTTACGGATCAAGGGTGCAAGTTCTTCCCTATATATAATATATACATTTATATATTTTATAATATCTCTATGTATGTTTTATATTAAATTTTCAAATGGTTTTGTTTTGTATTTTATAAAACTGAAAAATTTCAACAAAAATATTAAATGAGCAAGCAAAAGATTTTAAACGCTGCAATTCACTTTATAAAAACAGTGAGGCATTAAGGCATATTCAACAGTTTTACTTTAAAGTTTAAGTATAATAACAACAAATATAGGCTACAAATACAAAACAAATGCGAAATACGCTGCAAATACGCTACAAATTAAGATTTGCTTACACTCTCGTTTACAGTTTCTTATAAAAAAAAAAGTGCTGCGGCTCTTTCTCGCCAATAATTCTTGTGTAATGGTAACCGTGAATTCTGTGCAAAAACACACTGAATTGAGCATTATGTGAGGCTAGCTATTCGGACCTGTAAAACACAAGTTTTGTTAAGTCTTATAAATAATATCAATTGATGAATATCAACTTTGTAACTATCTATATGTTAAGTCTTATAAATAACTTCAGTTGATGATTTTTTATGATATCATTATGTAAACTCTCTTACATCAGTTCCGACCTGATGTAAGAGAGGTTTGTAATGTGCATTCCTGCTTGCCTCAAATATTATCACGAAAGCATATTTTTGTTTGCTATAAATTCTTTTGAGTTTAGCGTGATTAGTGCCACACCAGGCAACGTTACAGTAAGAAAGAAAGCGGTATATGAACGAAAAAGATATTTTTAAAAAACTCATTTCTAAGAAACTATTTTGTTTAATTTAACATGGAAATACATTTTGAGATCTTCCTTGATAAACTTAAACAAAATTTATACACCATAACTTTCCTCTAGTTTTTTCAAAAGTATCTCATGATTTACGGTGTCAAAAGTATCTCATGATTTACGGTGTCAAAAGCGCTTTGAATAAATCAATAAACACCACAATTGTACAAGGCTGTAGAAAAAAATTTAAATTGGTGGGGGAGGTTTTGTAGGGCAGTACTAACCTGAAATAGTTTTAAGGACATTATTTTTTTTATCAAAATTTCTTATTTGGAAAATTGATAGAGTTGCTATGGGCCTGTTGTAAAGCAATAATTTTAAACCCTAATGGTATATGTTTAACCAAATTAATTTTTGCATGGAGAGTACAATGGATTTTTTTTAAACCATATTACATATATAAAGTCTTATTTTCAGTTAAATATTTGTAACGTTTGTTATACAAAACGCGTTCAATTAGTTTTTTATCTTGAACATGACCTGACTTAAGTGAAAGATTAAAACTATGGAAGAATAAGGTTTCAATAATATTTTAATAATATCTTCGCTATATTACTTTTACCTTTTTTTTTTATTGTTCTCCTTTTTACTAAGAGTGCATTCTTATAGATGTAACTTCTAATCAAACTGACCATGTTTTTCCTTTCTGCCAATAACCTTTTTATTGGAGTTTATAACGCTCTATAAACTGATTGACTTCGCTCTTGCTGGCAATAGATCACATAATTTCTGCATTTTTCAATATTTTATACAGATAGTTAACTATGCTGTTTGTTTTTCTGGTAATCCTCTCCCCTTAACTACATTACTTGATTTGTGTCTTGCCTATGACTCTAGTTTGTGTATTTTAAAACATGTCTCTCCGTTTTCTTTTTTATCTCTTTTTGGTAGTTCCGACCATGCAATGATCTCTTTTAGTATTTCGAACCTACATAATATCATCACACTTCTTTATTTAATATTTTGAACCTACATTATCATCGCACTTCTTACTACTAACTTAAAGCTTATCTATATTATTTTTGAAAATATTTTTGTGATGGCCCTTTTGCTGATGACTTTTCTCTC